GGACTCAAGAAACCTCCTACAAATTGTAAACGCTTTGGTAAGCTACGCCGGACAGGTTAAAGAGGTGGTTCCCCCAGACATCAGGCCTATGCTGGCACTGTGAGTCAGCTGAGAGATCCTTGTTTCATATTTGGTGGCAATGCCCAGGGCTCAAACCATTTTGGGATGATGTTCGAGAGCTGATCTACTCAAATTACGAGGACTATTCTGAGTGTTCCCTGAAATCGTACAAGAAATACTTGGTGCGGCACCTTTTGAATGCGGCTAAGTCCTTAATTCCCAGGCACTGGAAGACTGCTCATACCCCCTCGATCCAAGACTGGATAAGAGAGGTCAATATCATTCAGGAATTGGAACGCACACGGGCTATGACCGATGACATGGTAACCAGATTCCACAAATTGTCCTGTTGGTATGCTTTCACTTTTTCAGAAAAAGTATAAGAGGCTGATGGGCGAATAGTTATTTTTTCTCTCCTGGACGTGGCCGGTGAATTCTTGACATCTCTCACAGAGATGGTCCTGCCCTTACTATTGTTATTCTCAGGCTTTCTTTACTAGATTTTAATTTTCTTCTGTTCATACACTCCTTTATATCTGCCCTGACATTTGTACCTGTAAATTGTAAACGTTTTAATATATGAACGCTTTCTGCAGAATAATGTTGTGATTATGCTACTTAGTTTGCTCCGGTTCTATTTGTAATTGTGTACTACATGATACGATATTATGTCATGCCTCCTTGCAGTTAATTTCTATTCATATGTTCTGCTTTTTGTCTGAATAAAAGACAATTGTTTAACCACATGCCGCCCAGCCACTGTATAAATACGGCGGCAGGGCAGCACGGCTGGGCAAAAGCACGTTTTAAAACGTGCGTTTTGTAAACAGGTAGGGGGCGCGCTGCCGCCCTATCTGTCTCGCCGATCACAGCCGCGGATGTCAGTCGCCGGGTCACAGCCGGTCCTTACCGGCTATGTCCCTGTGATCGGCGGTAATCGCTGACAGAGAGCACAGCTGCAGTAGCTGTGCTTTCTGTCAGTTCCCTGACAGCTCCAGGACACGGTGATCGGGACAGAAGAGTTTCTCTCTTCCGATCAGCGGTGCTCCCTGCAGTACACACCCCCGCCCCCTAGTAAAACACTCCCCTCACACAGTTAACCCTTTCCCTGAAAAATAAAGTTAACCCCTTCCTCCCCAATGCCATTAGTACAGTGTCAGTGTTTTTTTTTGCACTGATCACTGTATTGGTGTCACTGGGGATGTCAGTACCCCCCAATGTCAGAATGTCCGCCGCAGTCCCGCCATAAGTCGCTGATCTCCACCATAAGTCACTGATCGCCGCCATAAGTCGCTGATCGCCGCCATTATTAGTATAAAAAAAAACCTAAAAATCCCAGTATCTTTCCATTTGTAAACGCTATAACTTTCACGTAAACCAATTAATTTACACGTATTGGGTGTTTTTTTTAGCAAAGACATGTCGCAGAATGCATTTTGGCAGAAATTTATGACTAAATTTGATTTTTACATTTTTTTTTACTGGACATGTTTTATAGCAAAAAGTCCAAAATATTGTTTTTTTTTTCCTCAAAATTGTCAGCCTTTTTTTTATAGTGCAAGAAATAAAAACCGCACAGGCGATCAAATACCACCGAAAGAAAGCTCAATTTGTGGGGAAAAAAAGGATGTAAATTTCATTTGGGTACAGCATTGCATGACCGCGCAAGTGGTTAAAAAAAATCTCAATAAAATACATTTGCGTTTTTTGGTTGCAACATGACAAAATGGAAAATTTCAAGGGGTATGAATACTTTTTTAAGGCACTATATACACACCCTTCTGCACAGCCTAGCAGGTGACACTTATATACAGTTAGCCCACAACAGGAAATTAAGATTTAAGTTTATTTCTGGTAGATCAACAGATATTCTTCTGTACTTGCTGGGATAAAGGTATAAAAACAATGGGGAATATTGCATGTATAGCAGAGATGTAATGCACACTTTTTTTTTATTCTTATTTTTTGTTTTTAAATTTGCATTGACATATACTTTAAGCAATTAGTGTAGGTGGATCAGCTATGCAGCTTCCTATGTCACCTTTCTATCTCCTGCCCCTTCCACTTTAACACAGGTAATAATGGTATTTATGATGGTATGAACATATCTTATTTTTCATGCCTTTATTTATTTTCTCCACTACATGCAGACAATGACAGATAGGGACAAACTATAACATGCTGCCTGGGGTGCTTACAATGGTAGCTTTTGTTCTTATAGATTAAATCAAAACATTATGGCTGCAAGTGCTCAAGCACTCAAACAAGCATTTGGGCTCCATGCACAATAGTGTTTTTTTAAGCTCCTAGAAGCTATTATCAGCATATTCTTTCCGCTCCTAACAGCTTTTTTCCCCCTCTACTTGTACTGAAAAAATGCTAATGAAACGCTGGGAAAAATCCTGGATAAAAAACTCTGGTAAAAGTGTTTTTTAGCAGCGTTTTAGTAGTGTTTAGAAGCGTTAGCATTTTATTAGCGTTTTTACAGTACATGTTTAGAAAATGAGCATTTTTGTAGCATTTAATTTTTTTTCTGCTGGAAAAATGCTTCAAAAAACTCTACAAAAACATTTTTTTTTCGCTCCTAGACGCTGAAGCTCAAAAATTGCTAATAGCCTAAAGTAATGTGCATTGACACATAGAATAACACAGAAAAAATATGTTGAGAATAACTTCTAGGAGCGTTCAAAAATACTAATGTGCATGGAGCCTTAAGCTGTGTATACACTAGTGGAATTTCACTCAACATTTTTTGTTTTAAAGTGGTAATAAAGACAGTAGAAAAACAAATAAATAGAAAATGACTCTCCCTGCAGGTTTAAGTCATAATGTACTAGTCATGGACCACATACTAGTACATTATGACAGACCTACCTGTCAAACTGAGCCCTCCAGTGCTGTGTTATCACCAATCATGCGGGTCCCAAGCACTTCCATCTTTGCCTGGTCATCCTTCTGAGTTTTATCTCTTCGATTGTTGAATGTGATGGTGTCACTTTCATGCATGCTCATCACCACAGCACATGGCGGCTGCCATAAATGTGGTCTGAGCTGCGCATGTGTGGCTCAGATTACATTACTGCTGACAGGTGGAGGGGCATTAATCACAGAAGAGACCACTAGGGCTCCTTCTACTGAAAAGACCACCAAGGTCTCTTCTGTTAAAAAACCCTGAATGTCAGCAATTTTTGTAAATGAAAGTTTGTTTGATTTTCTAATTGTTACTGGGGTCAATTCGATATTTGATTGAAAGGAGCAGGATGGAATATTTTTCTCAAACAAATGTCTAACAGTGTATGTGGTTTTCATTCGGTAAAGTCCGTTTGTTTCAAAATGTAATGTTAAAAGCAAACTAAATTTTGAACTGCTCTCCAATGACACTAGTCAAGCCATAAAGTGTACTGAGAATTTTCTTATGAATTTTTGTTTTCTCTACAGTTCTTATTTGATCTGAACATGGGGGAAAGTAAAACATAAGATTATTAACAAAATAATAGTAATGAGACAGACTGGCTTTAGGACATGAAAGTAGCATATTTAAATTGATAATCCAAGTTAAGAAAGCAGCAGTCATCTATCAGAATACATTTTTCATACATCTGACACTGTTCATGTATCCACACTACTTTTTTGCATTGCCTTCTGAAGTTATATGTATTCTATATCTAGTTGGCGATGAATAGAAAAAATAAATCACAACATAGCACATAACATAACACACTGAGTGCCATAAAGATCTGTCCAAGAACCACTTATGTGCTACCTGCTATAAAAACTATATTGTATTCAGAATCTGCAGTGTTGATGTGCAGGTGATCAGGCAAGTGTCTTAAATTAAAAAAAAAACAACAACAATTACACACAGAAGCTCTCCCAGTAATGAAAGCCAATGTACTGAGTACACTGGTTGCAATTCATGAGTGGAGAAACATGCAGGCACAGGAACCAAATTTATGCTTTTTGTTGCTAGGCAACAAGTAAACCTTGCAGTGTAGTTTACATAATGTCTGACATAAATGTTTCAAAGAGAGTTCCACACAGAACAAACGATGCATGATAACAAAATGAACTAGTACAAAGAAATTAAATAGTACAATACAGGATCTCCTGGAGAGACTGGTAAAAAGGAATTCACTCAGAATGGAAAGGCAACTGAATTAAGGCCATTGGCTCCTGCCAGGAAAAATTGTTTCAGTGTTAGAAGTGACATATCATCAACATTCCAGACAGAGTAGAGCTCCATCCCTAATGAAATAAACAATCTGTTTTTGTTTGAAGCAATGTCTTTTATAGATGGTATATCATATACCTTATGAAAAAGAATGAGAGGACAACACTGTTAGTGAAATGTAAGGAATCTGTCACTATCATATATGCTATATTGCCAAAAGTATTGGGACGCCTGCCTTTACACGCACATGAACTTTAATGGCATCCCAGTCGTAGTCCGTAAGGTTCAATATTGAGTTGGCTCACCCTTTGCAGCTATAACAGCTTCAGCTCTTCTAGGAAGGCTGTCCACAAGCTTTAGGAGTGTGTCTATGGGAAAGTTTGAACATTCTTCCAGAAGCACATTTGTGAGGTCAGGCACAGATGACAGACGAGAAGGCCTGGCTCTCAATTCCCACTCTAATTCATCCCAAAGGTGTCCAATCGGGTTGAGGTCAAGACTCTGTGCAAGCCAGTCAAATTCCTCCATCCCAAACTCGCTCATCCATGTCTTTATGGACCTTGCTTTGTGCACTGGTGCGCAGTCATGTTGGAACAGGAAGAGGCCATCCCCAAACTGTTCCCACAAAGTTGGGAGCATAAAATTATCCAAAATGTCTTGATATGCTGATGCCTTAAAAGTTCCCTTCACTGTACCTAAGGGGCCAAGCCCAACCCTTGAAAAACAATCCCACACTATAATCCCCCCTCCACCAAACTTTACACTTGGCATCCAGACACGTCCATCAGATTGAAAAACAAAGAACCGTGATTCATCACTCCAGAAAACATGTCTCCACTGCTCTAGAGTCCAGTGCTTTAAATCACTGCATCCGGTGCTTTGCATTATACTTGGTGATGTAATGCTTGGATGCAGCTGCTCGGCCATGGAAACCCATTTCATGATGCTCTCTATGCACTGTTGTGCTATTCTAATCTGAAGGCCACATGAAGTTTGGAGGTCTTTCACTGTTGACTCTGCAGACAGTGGGTGACTTCTGCACACCAAATGCTTCAGCATGCGTTGACCCCGCTCTGTCCTTTTAAGTGGCCTACCACTCCATGGCTGAGTTGCTGTTGTTCCCGGTTGCTTCCACTTTGTTATAATACCACTAATAGTTGACTGTGGAATATTTAGTATCAAGGACGTTTCATGGATGGACTTATTGCACAAGTGGCAACCTATCATGGTACCATGCTTGAATTCACTGAGCTCCTGAGAGCGACCCGTTCTTTCACAAATGTTTGTAGAAGCAGTCTGAATACCTAGGTGCTTGATTTTATACACCTGGAGGCATGGAAGGGATTGAAACACCTGAATCCAATGATTTGGAGGAGTGTTGCTTATACTTAATACTTACACGCAATACTTTTGGCAATATATTGTATGATCTAAAATTTATATATAAAATGAAATGAAATATATGCAAGATAATATTCAGGCAGTGATGTTCAAGTAGCATCCTCCTAGTTTGTAGGCTGCTAGGTAAATCTAGTTGACTCCACCGTAGGCAGAGGAGTTAATTGTGCTAGGAGCTGTTTCAGTGTCTCACAGGTTGTTAGCTTGCTAATTTCACCTGTCTTCTGAAGGCTTCTAGAAGTGAAGTGTGTAGAAGAGCAGGGCAGGCAGCCTGAATATTTATGGATCTCCAGCCAATCCCTGGGGAAATGTGCCCAGTAGGTGGAGGGAAAGCTCATAAATATTATGAGGCCTGGAAGCCAGGGAGCAGAGCTCCAGGGTCCAGCCATCTGGAGGAGACACCTGTGCTGGAGGAGGAGGAGAGAAGCCTCAGGAGTCCGGTGCAACCATTAGGGTCCAAGTTAGGACTAGCTGGGGGCCTGCCAGAGAGAGAGACTGGGTCGGTGCCTGGGTAAAGAGCCATAAGATCAGGATTGATCCAGATACTCAAACGAGAAGTGACTGTGGGGTAATGCACACTACGAGTCAGGACTTGGTGTAGCCAGGAGTTGTGCAAGTCAACCAGGGGCTCACCATATCTCAGAGACAGAATTTATTACAGCCAGAAGTAGTGCAAGACAGCCAAGAGTTGTACTACCACTACTACTATTAATACTATTACTAACTAAGACAAAGATTATTGCAGCTCAAGTTGTATAACACAGCTTGCAACCTGTACAGAGCAGCCAGAAACCTAGCAGTCCTTAAAGTTCTAAAGTTTTTACAGTTCGGGGTATCCCAGTTTGTCAGCCCCATCCAAATTTCTTGTTCCTCAAAAAAAAAAACCCCACAAATCTAAAACCCCTAGATTGATTTTTGAGCCAGTGGAAGAGAGCTGAAAATGCTGTGTGCCTGGCTTTGCATGCTGTAGACAGGGGAAATAGAGAAAATTGCAAGCAACTCCTTTGGGGGTAGTGCTAAATTCAGTATAAGCTAAAGAGGTAGATTTTGTTGAGTAACAGGCAGTGCAACTGCCTCATGTTTCACTTGCACACCAGAAAGCTACAGAATAGCTTATGGTTTATAATCAACTGCAGTTTTCAGTGTTTATTAACTGCTTGCTGTCCAGCCACTGTAGAAAAATGGCCACAAGGTGGCACCGCTCAGCAAAATCACATTTTAAAACGTGATATTGCAAAACAGGCAGGGGGCTCGCCCGAGGCGCGCGACCGCCCTACCCGTGCCGCCAATTGTGGCCAGTCATTACCCGCCGGGTCCTGGCGATTGCTGGCAAACAGTGACACAGAGCACAGCTGCATTGTTTTCAATGTAGCTCTGCTCCCTGTCAGTTCCTAACACGCGATCCTGAGAGAGGAGTTTATCTCTCAGGATCAGAGTGTTCCTGTGAAGCACACACCCCCGCCCCCTAGTAAAACACTCTCCTCACAGTTAACCCTTTCATTGCCTAAAAAAAGTTAACCCCTTCCTCCCCAGTGCCATTATTACAGTGTCAGTGTTTTTTTTTGCACTGATCACTGTATTGTTGTCACTGGGGATGTCAGTGACCCCAAGTCAGTTCCCCCCAGTGTCAAAATGTCCGCCGCAGTCCTGCCATAATTCGCTGATCACTGTCATAAATCGCTGATCACCGCCATAAGTTGCTGATCGCCATTATTAGTATACGAAAAAAAAATCCCAGTATCTTTCCCGCCATTTGTAGATGTTATAACTTTCATGGAAACCAATTAATTTACACGTAATGGGATTTTTTTTAGCAAAGATGTGGCAGAATACATTTTGGCCAAAATTTATGATGAAATTTGATTTTTACTGGACATGTTTTATAGCAAAAAGTCCAATTTTTTTTTCTGTCAGCCTTTTTTTTTATAGCGCAAAAAATAAAAAACGTACAGGCGATCAAATACCACTGAAAGAATGCTCAATTTGTGGGGAAAAGGATGTAAAGTTAATTTGGGTGCAGTGTTGCACGACCGTGCAATTGTCAGTTAAAGTAACGCAGTGATATCCTGATGAAGTCACGTGTAACCAATCGTGCCGTCACGCGTAGATACAGTCACGCGTAGATACAGTGGGAGGAGCCTAACGGACCGCGTGGTGACGTCATATCCAGCGTTGGCGCCATCTTGGTGCACCTTGTGAGGATCCACACAGTTAGTACACCCATGGTGTGGTGAAATGCGCATATTGAGCTGCACAAATGTGAGTAGTACTTTGGAGTGTGGTTTCTATTAAAGTATGCAGTTTTACACTATGTTGGATCTCTTTGCCTTATGTGGGACATGTATGGAGAGGTGTTCGTACTAATATCCGGAGGTATTCGTGGGATATATACTGATCAGAGAAGGAAGTACCACCGTTATTGCTGAGGAGGTTCCCACGGTGTCTTGGGAGGATAACAAAAGAGGCATTTTATCTAGCTCAGTGATCCTGAGGGGCCTGGGCAGGAAGGTGAGGGGGCACCCCTGTCACTGTGGATTCATTGTCCAACTGGGAGCACTTGCATGAAGATTGCCATGTGTTTTATTCACTTTTTATTGAGAGGAATCACAGCACTATATATTTATTTTGTCCTTAGTAGATATGTTATGAGATATTTTGCATATAGTACATTTTGTGGATGAGGTACTTATAGCGCTGCACTTTTATATCTGTAATTCAGTGACGTAACACAAACCGCTTCTGTAACCGCTTCCTGGTTTTCACTCCCTTCCCAGATAGCGTCAGATGGCCGGCAGTACACCAGTCATCACATTTAACCCCTTGATTGCCAGGAGCACGCTAGTATAGTGTCTGAACGGATCAATATCTTTGATCAGATCAGCACTATACCAGTGTTAACATTAGTATAGCGTCCCCAAAAACGCAGAGTTAGCGGGATCAGCCCCAGCACCTGCCAGCACCTGCGTTTAGCCCCTATGCTTACCCCCCCCATTCTCCCCCAGCAACTGCAGTGTAAGTAGGTTATTGTCACTTGATACATTGCACACAAAACCGCAGTGTTCGCAGAATCAGGCCTGGTCTCTGTTAGCACTTGCCGGTATATTTTGATAACTCTCATATGCTGCAGAGTGCCAGTACTAGTGCCGCTCTACCATTTGGTGAACTGGCGAGTAGTAGCGGTCTAGTACATCCTGGTCTTTCACGTACCTCCTTGATGTTTTGAGCTGTTTTTCACGGAATATCTGTATGCGTTGATTGTGGATCAAAGCAATTTATATGCAGAACAATTTATCGCAGCCAACCCAAATTCAAACCTTGCCAGACCAGTCGCATGGAAACTCATAACGGTTTCTGAATTTACATTTTTTTGGGGCCTAACCCTCAACATGGGCATTACTAAAAGAAATGAATTGCGGTTGTATTGGTCTGCAGACCCGATTCATCATATGCCCGTGTTCTCTGCAGCCATGGCCAGGCATAGATATGAGAGTATAATGTGTTTCATGCATTTCAACGACAATACACTCTGTCATCCTCGGGGTGACCCTGAATTTGACCGGCTCCACAAAATTCAGCTCCTCGCAAATCACCTTAACCAAAAATTTGCAGATGTCTATACTCCCCAGCAAAAAATCTGCGTTGATGAGTCCCTGATTAATTTTTCTAGCCACCTTGCATTCAAACCATTTCTCCCCAGCAAGCATGCCAGATATGGGGTCAAGATGTAGAAGACCTGTCAGAGGACAACAAGTTATACTTATAAGTTTTGGATTTACGAGGGGATAGTCACGTGGAGCCCCCTGGATGCCCAGACTACATGGGGAGTAGTGGCAAGATAGTTTGGGACTTGGTGTCATCCTTTTTCCATATGGGGTACCACTTATATGTGGACAATTTTTATTCAAGCGTGCCACTATTTAGACATTTGCTCAATCTTGGAACTGACGCATGTGGCAAAGTGTGACCTAATGTGTGCCCACCATTAGAAGTGGGTGGATGCAGGGCGGTATATTCTAATGGTGGGCATACCACACACTTTTTCTGGCAGAGATTTCTTCTCTTTTTTTCATTCAGTCCACAGGCTGCATACAAAAAAAAAAGAACATAGCATATACAGTACACCCAACAAGGACCAGCGATGTACTGGTACATCACTGGACTTTGAATGGTTATACCAGGATGATGCCTACAGCTGCAGGCATCATCCTGGTATCGTTTTTTTCAGCCAGCGATCAGCTTTCATGTAAAAGCAATCCTAGTGGCTAATTAGCTGCAGGATTGCTTTTACAAGCAGCGGGATAGGATACCCCCCCTCCCCCGCTGCCTTCCACGGCCTTCTCGGGCAGTCCCGTGCCATCGGGGGAACCTGAGAATGCAGCCGGTGTTTCTGTCAGCTGACCACAGAGCTGATTGGAGACCAGAGTGGTGCCAAATCATCTCTATAGTCTAAGAATTCGGAAGCTACAAGCATTTCATCACTTCAGTTTCGCAGGATATAAACAGCGCCATTTGTAAATTGGGAAAGCATCTGATCACACCGATTCTGGTTTGATTAGATAATGTAAGGGCAGAGGAGATATCTAGAGCCTGATAGACCCCAGATTTCTCAAAAAAGAATATATGACAATGCCCATTGAAGTTATAGGGGATATTTGCATTCCCTGTGATAGCATTAAAAGTGATAAAAAAATAAAAAGTTACAGTGTAAAAATAATTAAAAAAAGCAAAATAACTTAAAAAACAAAACAAAAAAAACAAAAAAACTCGCCCCTCCCATGCACGCACACCTGTGTGCAGAAGCGTTGACCCTGTGCCGGTATGTAAACAGCGTTTGCACCATACATGCAAAGTATCGCCGTGAACGTCAGATCAAGGGCAGTAAGTCTAACACTAGACCTTCTCTGTAAATC